AAGAGACAAGGTGGAGGGGAGTTAGGCTATGCCAGAGGTCTGCAAACTTGGCAACTTTATGGCTTCTGGACTTCAACTCCCAGAATTCTGGGAGTTGAAGTCCACAAGTCTTAAAGTTGCCAAGTTTGGGGACCCCCCCCGGGGGGGCTATTGGGTGGGACAAGTTCATCTCCCTGGTTAGCTAGCAAGCGCAACAGGTCTCTTCATCATCAGGTGCACTGAAAGGAAGAACGCCCATGGTTGCCAGCCCTTTGGCCCCTTTGAATAAAAACAGGATATAAATCTACTAAGAAAATAGGTGACCTGTTGTACTATTAAAAGAGGAACAACTTCTCCAATTAAGTTTTTGTTTTCCAAACTGGAACCTCGGAGAAATGCCTTTGCAGTACTGTAACGTCACAAAGGTATCTTTGTACGCACTCCCGTGTGACCCATCTGGACAATTTTGATGTAAGGAGATGTTGAGGAATAAAAGTTTGCAGAATCTGCAGTGCAAGTTTATTTGCTGTGGGTCAGAACATCTGGATGTTTTATTACTAGTGATGGATAAAAGAGGGTCTCACTTCATATATTGGCCACCTATAAGAAGCAGGTTAAGCCTAAATGATGAAGATATGGGCAGATCCTTGTAGCTTTATTTTTTTTTTATTTTTTTTGGATCAGCTGTGGTTGATGGACGGCCAGTTCAAGTTTTCTGTATTTCATAATTTGACTTGGGGGGAAAAAAAGTGAATTGGACTTCAATTCCTAGTTTAGCTCTAGAATGGCCACTGTTACCATCTGAAAGAAGCAGCTCTTTGTTCAGGCATCTCAGTACAAGTAGTCCTCTACTTATGACCACAATTGAGCCCAAGATTTCTGTTGTTAAGTGAGATACTTGTTAAGTGAGTTTTGTCCCATTTTACAATCTTACCACAGTTGTTAAGTTGATAAGTTAGTAACCTGGTTCTTTCTTTTTTTCTTTCTTTCTTCTCTCTCCCTTCCTTCCTTCCTTCCTTCTTTCTTTTTTTCTTCTTTCTTTCCTTCTTTCCTTGTTTGCTACTAGGCAGAGAAGACAAGAATTTTGCAGGATATTCTCTCTCAGCTACTTTTGGAACACCCTATGTAGGCACAGAAACCCCCTTTGACATGTGGCTCTTCACAAACTCCTCACCAGAAGCTGAGACCACAGGACTTCAAGACTTAATTCAGATAAAGATGCTGCTGCCTTGAATCTTTGTTGAAGGAAAATGTTCTTTCCATGCTTTGCACAGCCCTAATTCAGTGTTGCACTTGAGTAAATATCTCATTCCACTGGTGAAAGGAGGATTGGGTTTCCTTCATACAAAGATACAAATAATCAGAAAATGCAATTCTAGTAGAGAAAGAGCTATCAGCATGTAAATCTTGAGGTAATTTACAATTTGAAATTTTAAAACAGCCAGGATATATCTCTGCTTAACAAATCTAGCGACAGCGATGGATTCATTCATTAGGCTTCTGTGTGGCTTTTGCCCCTGAAAAAGTTAATCCTGAGCTAATAAAAGCTCAGCAATTTTATATTCAAGTCACCATCCTTGTTATTGTTGTTAAAAAAAAGACTTATTCAAATAAAAACATTCTCATTTTGTGTCAAAAAGTTTTTGATTATGACAGTGTATGCATTGATTTGCTCATGTGCGTTTTTAATATTACTTCCATCTCCATCAGTATTCCTGTTTTTCTTCAAAGAATATAGCTACAATTACTGATGAAAATGACAAACTCTTTCAAGAATACCAACTTAATTAAGTTAGGTTACTGTCCAACTCCAAGAGAGAAAAAACATATTTGATTAGTATTTTTAAACTGCATTATTTGGACACAGTCTAAGTGATATTAAGTATTTCTATGCACTTTACATGGAGAAAGCAACAGTGTGATTTCCTTGAATGAGTTTTCACTGAATCATGCTGTTGATGTCTTCAAAAGAAAAAAGAGGTGAGCATGGATGTTTACATACTGAAACTCATTTCCAATTGTTTAAACAGCTGGAATTTGGGGATCTCACTAGAAAGAATTTAACCAAGAGAACTTAGATGGTTTCTCACAACATCTAGATCTCAGATTTGCGAGGAATGAGGTATTTGCAATGAATGGATACCTTAAAGTTCATTTACTAGAAATGATTTCCACTGAAATCACTGAAGCTGGTTTCTATTTGGGATGTACACAGGTCTTACTCTAAGGTCTTACTATATTTTCCTTCTACCATTGATAAAGTTTCAAAAAGTGTTTCCTTTTTTCCTCCTCCAGTATGGACTTTTTCTTCTAAGCTCCATCCATTTTTCTCGAAAGCAGATTTCCAGCTAGGTGTCCTCCAGGTGTGTTGGGTATAATGACTATCACTACCTCCCAATATAGGCAAGTCTTTCTCAGTTCTTAAGGATGTTTTCTGAAAGTCATTCAAATTTTCAAAGGGATTACTATTTAAATGCCAATGAGCTATTGCTCTGAAATTGCACATGTGGCAAGAGGCTACATATATATGGCAGCCCATATTAAGAGTCTTGATAACAGGAAAAATTCCAAGCACTTGTGATTTTTCATGGAAATCACTGAAAACATCTCACGGGATGTTGAACAGATTCCATAATGCCTTGACCATAAAGGAACAAGTTTCTATTAGTAGATCTGTCTGTTAATCTATCTATTCATAAACCCAATCATATTAAGTAAACCAAGCAATACAGTGACCATGTAGTTCTGCGGTTCTCAGCTGAAGCTTCATGAGAAATTCGGAGTTGGATGGAATCCAGGACTTTAGTTCCACAATACTCTATTTACATACCATTGAAATGAATGGGTCCGAGCAAAAAAGGCATGGCTTCGTTTCCATAAAGTTGGCTTAAGCTCAAAGAAGTTTTTGCCCTGGATTGTTCCCGCTTTTCACAGCATGAATTCTACACGTTTTATTTGAAAGTCAGCTTAAAAATGTAAAATTAAAAAGAGCGCATCGTTCTAGCTCTAAGGTAAGGGTGCTTGCATATGTATTCAATACATAAATTGTTTTGTTTATTATTAATTTACATGGCTCACTTTTCGTTTTTTTTTAAGGAAATCTATTTTCAAGTAAATGGATGGCGATCAAGGCGAGTGGACCCTCCTGCACTTTCTTTGACCTCTCAGCTCCCAAATGCCCCCCCCCCCACAAAGATGCTAGTCGGCAGATGTGGGGATGAATGGAGAAAAGAGAAATCAATACCATTGGCAGATGCCAGTTCGCCAAGCACAGGTGCCTGTGGATACAAATTCACATACCATGGATTACAGCTTTTTGAGTTCAGTCCTGCCCCTTCCAGATTGGACAGACTTTGGCAGAAACTGGCATTAAAAATTAGGCTGCACATTTTCTCCCCCCCCCCCCCCCCCCCCCCTTTGACTACCGGAGTGGTGTCGGACCTTGGCAACTTTAAGACTTATGGACTTCAACTCCCAGAATTCTCCAGCCAGCTATGCTGGCTGGAGAATTCTGGGAGTTGAAGTCCACAAGTCTTAAAGTTGGCAAGGTTGGAGACCTCTGCTGTAGAATGATCAAAAATTGCCCTTATTCTTATAAATGATGTTTTTCTTATCAGAATAAACAGAGTTTCATTCCAAACTCTGATTAAGGATTGGGGTGCTATATATACCCCAGTCAGGATTCTCTAATTATGTTGGATTTTAATAACCTGCAGCCAGTAGTACCGGATCCAAGAAATCTAGCTTCCTCATTTGCAACTTAAATCAGTCCCAGAATGACCTGGTAGTAACCCCAATCTTGAGTAGAAAACATTGGCTTTCTTTGCTCAAGCCCCATATGTCACAAAATCTGCTAACCATTCAGTAACAGAGCTAGCTTCTGCTGTGTCATCCATCACTAAATCAAAGTGTGTAGAGGTCGTTCTCCCTCCTCCATATTTGGGAAGGCAAATTGATGTAAGAGGGCTATGCTTGAACAACTATTGGAATATTTTGGGAAGAGCTGCCTGTTATTTTAGGAGATGGCAGAAAATATATTTCAACAGCCAAATGATGTCCCCAATTCCCCAATTTACCCCAATTCCCAAATGTAGACATTATATTTTGTTAAGCAGCCCAGGCAGTAATGGGTCAGAAGGCAGTAACAGGATAACAAGGATTAAAGGATGCTCAGGATCGCAAGTAAGGCTCAGCATGAATCTTACTGTCCTGCTGATTCTAAAAATATTCACTTTTGGGAAAAAAAAGTCCTCATAAAAATAGATTTTTTTCTCCCATAGTGTGTTGCTAACATCAGAGATAAAGAGATGGCAGGCGGCAGGCAGGAATCTGGATATAATATCATCACCACTTGTTTATATGCTTGTTTTCAATAAATTACCATCCAATTACTTGTTTCAAAGCATCTCAGCAGCTTCTTTCTCTTATGCTTTCCTGCCAGTTGGGAGGTGAATGGTTCTTCTTTTCAGTTTGTTTAGGATACCAGAAAAACAAAGTAAAATATGGTTTAATTTCTTCTTTCCCTCCCGTTAACATTTATCATTAACCCAACACATTGGTAATTAAAAAATGAAACAAAACAAAAAGAACAACAAGCAGGCATTCCAGGCCCAATTCCCTGAGAAAAGGTGTTTTTTCATTGCAGCGTTAAATGTCAAGTGATATGATATCTATGGCAGCATCTGGGACAAGAATTAAACAAATTAAGGAAACTCAACTCCCTTCCTTCCCCTGTTGGCCCAGAGTATATTGATTGGCCCACAGTGTATTTTGTATAAATGGGCAGAAAAATCCCGAAGTGTGACACTGTTCAGTGCAGTCCTAGTGCAGGATATAGAGAGTCCCCACCATTCCTTCATCCTTTTCACTCTTGGATTAGTGGTTTTTTTTCCTCCTGGGCTGGCTCGTGTGTGTGTGTGTGTGTGTGTGTGTGTGTGTGTGTGTGGCTGGCGGCCTCTTCATCTTCTGTATGAAATGCAGAAACTTTTCAGCTGCTCAGTCTTTCCTTAGGACGATGGCTGTCACTGTGCAACAGTTGGGGTCAAGCCAGTAGCACCCAACACACCTCCACTGGGAACAGAGCCAGGTGTCCCTGCCTGCATGGAGGAGACGGGACTCAGGGGTTCCGATCCAGGCTGAGATTGTTGTAACTTTTTCTTGTTGATTTTCCTTTCTTTTGCCCGCCTATTTTGAAACCAGATTTTCACCTAGGGAGGAAGAGAGAGTTAGTGTCAAGAATAGTGAGCTAGATATTTTCAACTTCACAGTCTAGTTGACAACCAATGATTCCTGGGGGCCTCCCACCCAAGTGATAACTAGACCCATCCTTATTACTTGCCATCCAGACAAGGTCAGTGAGATGGCACCAACTCTCAGGACAGAGATTCATGGTCACCTTGGCTAAAACTGTTTTGGCTGGATTGTACTCAAGTTTGTGAGTCTGGGCACAATGATGAGTTTATCCACACAACACTCCTGTGCAAATTTACCTATAGAGTACTACAGAGTACTTACTCTGAGTAAACATACAGAAGGGATTGGATTAGAAAAGCAAAGCTCTCCCTTCTACCCACATTTTTAGTGGAGATTTGCAGAAAGAGAGTAAACTTGTAATAAATTCCTGAGAATCTAAGCAGAAAGATCATTTTTTTTTTTTAGAAAGAAGGAGAAGACCATCTTGTTTTCTTAAGGGAAATAAATATATCCACTTTGTTGTAACATTAGAATCAGAATTTTGTCTATTATGTGTAAAGTATCTCCGTTTCTCAATCTGGCCAGCCTTAAGACAATGTTTCTCAACCCTGGCAGCTTTAAGATACATGAACTTCAACTCCCAGAATTCCCAGCCAGCATGCTGTGGGAATAGGGCTTTAATCAAATGGTCTAGGCCAGGGGAGTCAAACTCAATTTCATTGAGGACCACAACAGGGTTGTAGTTGACCTTGCGGGGGGTGTGTGTGGCCAACTGGGTGTGGGTGGCCAGCTTGATGCCACTCCCCAAACTGCTGACATGTTTCTTCTTCACATTGGGTAGACAGGCCGAAGCAACGCAGGTGGACCAGGCCGAAGCAATGCAAGGCAGCCCCTTACATTTTCCAGAACGGCCCCGTGGGCCAGATGCAACCACATCATGGGCTAGATCTGGCCCACAGGCCTTGAGTTTGACATCCCTGGTTCAGGCTAAGGAACAGACTAGTAGAAACTCAGCACTAAATGTTAGATGATGTATGATAACATCATCTTTTAAAAAACATATAATAAATTGAGTGTTTTATATATATACCAAAATCTGGGAGAGTGGATCAAGGCAATGTGGCTAGTAGTAAATTATGCTTCGGTCCCATGCAGTCTACTACTCATACTATGTATGATACTCCAAGATTACAGACAGGAACTCAGAACCTGAGAGTTTCTCCATACAAAGCTTGCCTTTTAGCACTGAGCTATGAACTCTCCCTGGTTAAGCATTGCTGGATATAACTCAGGCTACTGAGGGTGTAAATGCAACTTCTAGGTGCATCTTTATAAGGCTCAGTGCTATTAAACCAGTGACACTTACTTCAGAAGAATTATATAACACATAACTGGAATGCCTACCCCATCAAGATCTTAATTGTGAACCTAAATGATTTACGAACCACAAACCTCACCACACAATTCACTAGAACAAATAGCACATGTGTTATCTGTGGCTGCCTAAACAGGTAACTTCAGAATATATAGTAGTTTTCGTCTACCTCTAAGGCAGTACAAAGCATTTTGCCAAAATTTTAGCATGACCAAAAAAGGAATATGGTAACATCCTCCCCCCAGTGCTTTTATACCATTAAGGTAAAGGTTCCCCTCTCACATAAGTGCTAGTGGTTTCCGGCTCTAGGGGGCGGTGTTCATCTCCATTAGAAAGCCGAGGAGCTAGCACTGTCTGAAGACATCTCCGTGGTCATGTGGCGGGCATGACTAAACGCCGAAGGCACGCAGAACGCTGTTACCTTCCCACCAAAGTGGTCCCTATTTTTCTACTTGCATTTTTACATGCTTTCGAACTGCGGACAAGTAAGGGGAGCTCACTCCGTTAAGCGGTGCTAGGGATTTGAACCGCAGAACTGCCGACCTTTCTGATCCACAAGCTCAGCGTCTTAGCCACTGAGCCACTATGTCCCTTCACCATTTCCATTAGCATATTACAAAAAAGAGCACAATGTTATTCCTAAATGTACTGCTTGCTGCCTTCCAACCAAAGCTGGGTTTACACTACCACTCAACAGATCGAAATGCTTTCAGGATCCACTGACATACGAAATATTTTTTGTCCAGTCTTCAACTACAACAATGCCACCATGTAATAGGGATAGGGAGTTTTCTTACTTGCAGGAAAAAAAAAACTTTTGTAAGTTTAGGACTGAACGTAGTTTGCTAGTTTGCGTTCCACGTAAAAATTTGAATTCAGAAAGGTTTCTTTGTAGTGGTGATTGTATCGAAGTAGAAAGCTGGGGCCTTTTTTGTGTTTTTCAGAGCAAGAGGAGAAAAGGAAAGGAAAGAGAATTAAAATGAATTTTAGAGGACAGGTTGGGGGAAAGTGTATCATTGACTTATATCCAAAATTCAACAGTAGAAAGTAGCAAAATCTAGGACACATTAGAGGCTGATTTGTTTTAATATTCACCCAAACAGCTGCGGGGGGGGGGGGGGGGGGGGGGGGGAAGCGAAGCAAAGCTACTAGTCATGTGGGAAACGACTCAGAACAAATGCACCTCTAGGAATGCCAAGGACACCTGGAGCAGGGGTGGTGCTCAGAAGTTAGAAACACAAGTCTCTTGGACTTTGAAAATGAAGGTGTGTGTGTTTTGCAATAACAACTAAGCAAGCAAAGGGTATGCTAAGATGTCTTCACTGATAACTAAGGGGATAAACAAAATCTGGCAGTGTTTGGTATATAGAGGTGGCCAATAACTGACTTTGTACAATAGATACACATGCACACTTGGATTTAAGCCTCCTCAAATCTAAAGGCAAACATTTTTTTAGGCATGCCTAGATTCCATGGAGATCAAAGGGATCTTAAACCCATTCCCATTCGGTAAGATCTTTCCTCATGATATTGAGCACCTGGGGGGCATTCAGAAATACTTTGCATGCATTTTTTAAAAATGATCCTGATTCCCCCCCCCTTTTTTTTTTCATTTTCACTCCTATTACTGTTATGGGAAAAGTGAAAAGAAAACTAGGATTTTTCTGGCTTACTGCTTATATATTTAGCATAAATTATTATGCTATCTTGTATCATGCACTCCGTGCTCTTGATGTGATATGGAAGTAAATCAGAGGTGGTATTCAGCAGGTTCTGACCAGTTCTGGAGAACCAATAGTAGAAATTTTGAGTAGTTCGGAGAACTGGCAAATATCACCTCTGACTGCCCCCCCCACCCTATTCTCTGCCTCCCAAGTCCCAAGCAGGTTAGTGGGGTGTGGAGGGAATGGGGATTTTGCAGTATCCTTCCCCTGCCATGCCCACCATGCCACACCATGCATACCAAGCCAAGCCTACAGAACCAGTAGCAAAAAAAATTGAACCCCACCACTGAAGTAAATGCCTCTTCTGGTAATATACTGTTCTGACCCAACCGGGTTCCCAGAGAGCAAACACAGACAAAGGCAGCAGCCCCCACCTTTCAAGGTTTAATCACGAATGCTGTTCCTTTTCAGATAAAAGGCTGCTTTCCAACAATTATCTCCCACAAGAAAGAGCCTTGCCAAGTTGTTTGCCAAGGCGGCCAAAAACCCAGAGATAAGAACTAATTTACAAGATTCACGAACAAAGATGTCCACCAGTTGAGCTAAGAGCTTCTTTGCTGTCTGCAAAGAACGCTTTTCCAAACCTGGTTTTTATCCTCTTGAGGGAGGGGCCATTACCTTGCAGCCTTACTCCCGAGTCTCCTGTGCTGCTGTAATTGTTCTTTCCTCTGAGTAATCCTTCGTGCACGTGCACTTGGCACAGGCTCCTCGGGAATCTCCTCATCACTGCTGCCAGCCCCTACAATCTCTGAAGGCAGCAGTCCACTCCCTGATGGTCCTGGCCCTCATCAGAGTCATCGCTCTCCTCAGCCATCTGCACCTGCTGCCAGCTAACCACAACATATACAGAGCATAACTTCATGACCCTGAATTCATAGAACCAACTCTTCTGAGAAGACAGGATAAGCACCCAAGAGTAAAAATCTTTGCATGAAATCAGGAAGAAGGACAGACACAATCTTTAAAAATTTCATGTGCTTCTAGATTGCCCATGATGTACTTAAGTTTTAATCCACGCAAGTTTTTTTTTAAAAAGTTTGTTCAAGTTCAAGTGACTAATGGCATCTATAGGAAATAAAGACTACAAGACACATATTCTCAAACACTGCATGCAAAATGAAGAGATTTCCTAATAACTGGAATTTATTTATTTATTTATTTATGAAATTTATCTGCCGCCCTTCTTACTGATAAGATGACTCTGGAAGGCTTACAACCAGTAAAAGGGTAAATATAAAAACAATTAAAATTACAAGCATAATTATCTTATGTAAAAACTACATAAATCTTCATGTAATCACCCGGCAATGAGATGGGGGGGGCATATAAATTTAATAAAATGAAATAAAACAATAAACTATGCAAGTCTTCAATCCATGCATTTTGATGCTTCGGATACAAGAGACACAAGCTAGCATGGTGCATTTTCTATACACACATTTTCTATATTTAGTTCCTATGTTTAGAAAGCAAAGGTACATATAATGGGGGAGGAACTCACAGGTTTTTCTTTGCTCATCCTTCTCAGGAATACCAATACTGACACCATCAATATCAACACCCTGACCCAGAAAAGAATGACACAATTGGATAAGGGCTACACAATAGCACTGAAGAAAGGAGATTTAACAGAGTGTGCATCCTTATCCTTAATGTTATATTAAATATTTATTAAAATAATTTAATTTAATTAATTATTTTAATAACTATTAAAAATAATGCTTAGGATCATCCAAGAGAGCCCCACATGTAAAGAGAGAGAGGACAGATATTCAACCTGGCTTTAGAAAGCAAAAGAAATGAGAGATGCTGTTGCTGATGCAAGCTGGCTAATGGAGAAGGCCAAACAATATAAAAAGGAAACCACTTTGGACTTTAGTAACTTTAGAAAGGCCCTTGATTGTCTTGACCATGTCAAACTGTAAAATGACTAGAAATTAGGAAACTAGGAACCCCAGAACATATCATTGTCCTCATGTTGCTAAATGAGACATTTGTTAAGTGAGTTTTGCCCCATATTATGATCTTTCTTGCACAACTGTTTAAGTGAATCATCTTAGTTGTTAAGTTAGCAACGTGGTTGTTAAGTAAATCTGACTTTCCCATTGGCTTTGCTTGTCAGAAGGTTGTAAAAGTTGATCCCATGACTCCGGGGCGTTGCAACGGTCATAAATATGAGTCACTTGCCAAGCATCCAAATTTTGATCATGAGATCATGGGAAAGCGGCAACAGTCATAAGTGTGAAAAACAGTCATAAGTCACTTTTTTCATTGCTGTTGCAACTTCGAAAGGTGACTAAATGAACAGTTGTAAGTCGAGGACTATCTGTATATGCCTGTTCCATATATAAATATAGAAGGGCTAGACTAGAAGAAGATGAATGTGGTTTTAAATGTGGAGGAAGAAACAGTAATCGTCACTATGCAGAATCACTGAAAATGTAAATGATTTGAAAGCTCTAGTAATGAAAGTCAAGAAGTGCAGAAAAAAATGGGACTACAATTAAATAGAATGAAAGATCAAGCAAATGTCTAAAGGTACAACAACCAACTGGCAATGAAATGGTATATAAGATTCTGCATTTTAAAATCAATGATTAGCAGTACAATAACTATTGGTAGCAGCCAAAAATAATTCAGAAAGTAGCATTTGGTAGAGTAAAGATCTCTTGGAAAAGATATTCAGATTCCATGATGCCTAGAAACACCAGAACCATGCAACATTTTCTCTTATGATGCTCTTGACAGCTTTAAGACTTGTGGACTTCAACTCCCAGAATTCTTCCTCCAGTCATGTTAGCTCAGGAATTCTGGGAGTTGAAGTCCACAAGTCTTAAACTTGCCAAGTTTGAAGACCCTTGGTCAATACCATCTTGATGACAGATCATCCTTCCATCTTTCCATCCATCTTTCTATCCATCCATCCATCCATCCATCCATTCATGGATAGCAGGTTTTATTAAACTTCCTATATCTTCTTCTTGGGTCATAATTCAAGTCCTTTCTTCAAGCTGAAGAAAACCTAGTTAATACAAATAAATTATTCTCTCATAAAAACAAAGTAAAAAATAAAGGCTGAGACAATGACAATTATTATTGCTCTAAATTGCAGGGATGTCTCCCGCCTCTTTTTGATGTTTTCCCCCTAAAACCATATTTGTTGAAAAGAAAGTGATAATGCCAATAATGGCTCTGAACAAATGAAGAATTAATTCCGCATACATGTAAAAGGACATTTATATCAACTGTCTCCATTTGAATCAACCTGATAGTTGCAACAGATTCTGGGTTATGGCTTGTAAAGTTTTGATTTAAATATCCAAATTATTTATTGTTAAATTTCTTCAACCTGAATCTATGTAAAAGCATAAAAGTTGCAAACCTTTAAGCTCTTCAAATACCCGAAAAGCACCTCTTAGCAGCCCTACAACTTGCTACAGTACCTTAAATTTTAATCTTGCTTTCATCTTAGTATTTAAATTTGATTCTCAGAGGGTTGGCCCTACCTTTAGGATTGAGCAAGAGGGAACAACTGCTGGACAGCAAGCTTTATGTAGCCCTTGGACCCCTCCATTTTTCTGTGGCTTCTAGATCTGGCCAACAACATTTAATGGCAAACCACAATGCAAATTTGCATTTTTCCACTGTCTTTCATTTGTCAACAAAAGAAATAATTGTATAAATCATCAGTATGACCTAAGACATATAAGTAAAATGTTAATCACTCCCTCTCTCAAAACATGCAAAAACAAAAAAGGCAAAATGCAGACAATTCCAGTTCCCTGTGGTTGTGAAATATCATGGAATCATGATATTGCACAACTTTGATCCTTGTTCACTAAAAAAAAGTACAAAAGAGGACAAGTATAATCCCAGATATAGAAAGATCTCAATGTCCCAAAATGCCAGCAGGCTGATACCTTAGGTGAAAGATATTTCCAATTTCTCATGATTTAAGTTCATAATTAGCTTTTGGAAAACAGCTTTTTCTGCTTGGAAACCAATAGCCAGATGTCTGTGTACATAGCATTCTTATCCTTATCATGTGGATGCAAACAAGAATATACAGCATGCAAAACTAGGAAAAGAATAGACAAAATGCAAAAACCAGGAAAGTGCAGGCTGACAATATTGATGAAAAAATATAATATCTGTGGGAATGTTCCAGAAATATTAGGCCTCTCAGTTTAAATTTGTTATCCGAAACTATCCTCCGAACTGTGATATTTCCATGAGGGGATAAAGAGCTATCCCAATATTGCAGCTTAGAAATGAGGATCTTTTCATAGCTGGATGCTGCACGTAATATTTTTTTATATATACAGGGCTAGGATGATGCAATGATGTAGGGACAAACATTTTGGGGCATGGAGGTCTTTGAGGTGTTTGGGGAGAAGATTAGAGTCCCACCCTCCTCTTTTCATTAGATTAAGATTATGTTCTAAGTTTTTAAAATGTTTATCATGGCAGGAACTATGCTACCAATTTCCAACAAATGGTGATCGAAAGTGGCTTTAAGGAGTTACAGCAATGGAGCTTGAGAGTCCATTGTAGCCCATTCTTCTTCCAGGTTAAGCTTAGGGGATCCAGCCAAACTTGCTCTTAAAACCATTCCTTTTGAATTTGAAATGAATTACTGGACACATTGTGCTAAACTGTATTGAGCGAAGCAAGGACTGAAAAGAACCAGGTATAAATCCTTAGCTATGAAACTGGATAGATCAGTATTCCCTCCCTATTCCTTTCTTTCCTTCAACACATCAGGAAAGTGCTAAATTTAAAAAGCTGCATTAAATAAACTTGGACTTTTTATTAACTTAGCATAGCCCAATTTTTGGGATTGTGACATTCACATTCTGGGCAGAGACAGAATTTGAAAGATAAATGGCCTCTACATCACCAAATTTAAGGCTATTCTTACTAACTCTGGCTGAAATCAGAGACAAAAAGTGATTTTCATATATTAAAAAACCAGACTCTTTATAATGAAGCTTTATTTGACTTTATAAGTAAGTTGACATGCTTTTCAGCACCTAGAGGCCACCAAGTTAGGAAGGCTGTTTAAATTCAGGCACTAGTTCATTGTACAAGAATAGGCCTAGCTTTTCCACTTAGGGCATGCTAAACAAATGCAACCAATAGTGTAATAATCCTGGGTCTCTGAGAAATATTCCTATGTAATAAACCTGTTTTATTTTATAGGAATGGCAAAAGCTCAGTAACAGAGCACTTGCTTTGCATAGGAAATGCATTTCTTGAAATTTCCACCACAGGCTGGATGGAACTGGTTTCCCAAACTCTGGACAGCTGTCTATCATCCTACAGTGACTCTGAGTAAATTAAGGGGATATTTTTCCCATTCTTAAAGCACAGTTTCTTTCATATTGAAAGGGACATTCATTTACATATTCTTAAAAGGCAGGGTGGCTTGTTTAATACAAACACTTTGGTGTATTATGTTTTATTAGTCATTGTGTGCATTTATCACTATAAACAAAAGTAAGATCAGGAAGGTTTACTGGAAGAAGAGAGGGAGGTTGAATGCTGAGTGGGGAAGCTTGGAAACATTACACAGAGCAAAGTCTTACTTGTCTCTCTGACAATCCCAGTGTGGCTGCTAGCTCAGCTTTTCTCCGAATGGTGATGTAACGGCTATAATGAAACTCCTTCTCCAACTCAAGTCGCTGGTGATCTGTGTAAACCACACGGTATTTGTCTTTCGTCCTGGTTTTCACTGGGAAAAGAGATATTAGTGAGTTGAAAAAAAGCACACTAGCACCATCATATTTAAATGCCCACTTCTGAAATGATATATAACCAGAGCATAGGCTATATGTAAAATGCCAACTAGCTTCCAGCAATCAAATGGGGCGTGCAT